GCTGCCCGTGGCAGAGCCTCCCCTCCACTCAACAAGCCACCCCCGAGTGAGACGGTGCCATATCTGTGGCCATAGGTGATCCACGAGTACGAGGCAGCCCCGAGCACAGCAGGGTGCTGGGCTGAGGGTCCCCCTCTGCCTCACCCCACCCAGGACCCTCTGCCTCTCCCAGCTGGCCCAGAGCATCGTTCAGCCTTCTCCAGCCCTGGGAGACCGCAGGAGGTGCCAGCCCCCCAAGAAGGGGCTGGGGGGACCACGGCCTGAGCCGCCCGGGGTCCGGGCCTGGGAAAGCCACCGCGGGCAACCCCTCGAGACCCACCTCCTCCCCCAGCCCAGCCGCCGCTGCAGCTGGCTCTGCCGGGAAGGACCATTTCTTGCTTGTGAAACAAGGCAGAACTCGATTTGCTTCCATTGCGCTGAGCCACAGCAACATCTTTAATTTGGCCCCAAGGAAAGGCAAGATAAGGCATGGACGTACCAGATGAGAGGCAGAGGCACCATTTGGCCAGCTGGCCCCTGCTCGAGGCAGGCTGGGGTGAGGGTGGAGGGGATGTAAGCTAATGGGAGTCGCGCTGGTACATTGAATTTAGGCTTGTCTGCTTTGGGAGAGATTGAATTAGGACAAGCGCAACCCCCTCGAGCACCACCACCCTCCCTGGGCACCCGGCTCCCAGTGCAGCGCAAGCTCTGGGGCCTTCTCCTACGTGCGGGGCTTTATGGAGAAACCAGAAGTTTGGGAGATCACCGCTGGGCTGCTGGCGGCCGGCAGAGGCTGCCGAGATGCCGCGCGTGGGCTGGGGCCATGTCCTGCTCTCTGCAAGGCTGGTGCCTCACTGGAGCTGGGACGGGGTGACCCCGCTGCACAGAGCGACCCACCCCTCTGCACCCCGGGCGCCGGGGACCTCCTGGCCCCACAAGAGCCCCCACCCTCATCTGTGTCCCCCCAGGGGCTTGTTCTCTCCAAACCACGGGGACCGCAAGCATGTGGCTGGGGCTGCTTTCCCTGTGAGCCCAGCTCCGGCAGGGGGGAAGGGGTCTGCGTGGGGGGCTTCCTCCCCGGGACCTGGGCTCCATGGACAGGTCTCCACAGGGCATCCCCGCCATCCCTCCCCCATGTTGTTTGCTCACACTCAGTCCAGCGTCGCTGGGGAGGGTCGAAATCAGTGGCACTTGTTTGCGGGACCGGAGCAAGCGCTGGAAAATCCCATAGAGAAGCTTTGAAGCCCACCGGGTTGCCACTGGCTCCCTGCAAAGAAGCTGGGAACAGGGCGGCCCAATCCTGTGCTACAGGGCAGTGCTGGTGGTCGCTGGGTGGCCTTGGGTGCTGGGCAGTGACCTCAGGTAATCCACGCGCTTGCAGGTGTCCTCTTGATTGTGTCGGATGTAGCAGATCACATAGACGATCACCATGGCGAACCAGCCGAACATGGTGATGAACATGGCCACGTCCGTGGTCCTCTGACGCACGCTGCAGAAGTTGACGCCGGCATCCAGGACCTGGAGCAGCGGGCAGCGGCTTGCCCACGTACTCCTCGCGCGGGGCCGTGTGGCAGGTGATGTCCTGGACGGAGTCGGGGTCCAGCCGCGCCTCCCACAGCATCTCCTGCAAGGCACACTCGCAGTGCCAGGGGTTGTTGGCCAGCCGGAGCTTGGCATTGAGCACCAGCAAGGCCTCCTTGGGGATACTGCGGATGCGGTTGCTGGAGAGGTCGAGGGTGCGCAGCCCAGCAGCCACCCCTTTGAAAGCCGCGAGGCCGAGTTTCTCCAGGGGGGAGAGGTGCCTGAAGGCATTGCTGGGGATCCTGGTGATGCTGTTGGCGTCTAGCTTGAGGAACACCACGTCTTTGGGGATGTCCTTGGGGATCTCCTCCAAGTGCCGGGAGCTGCAGAGGACGGCCTTCGCCCCTGCCCGCTCCGTGCACTGGCAGCTCC